TCAATGAATATGAAACCAAAAATGACAAAATTATAGTCTAAAGTCATTTACAAACTCTAGACTACACATTGCAAAAAAACCTCATGATAATCCGACTTCAAACGAGTTAGATATGCATTTTTAAAATTTCACAAAATATAAAAATAAAGCTGAAAAAACAGAAAATTCACAGCTTTGATATCCCGACTTTGGGGGACTGTAAGTCAATGAATATTAACTCATGAATGACAAAATTATAGTGTAAAATCATATACAAACTATAACCTACATTCTGGAAAAAACCTCATGTCAATCTGAATTCAAACGAATGAGATATTCATGTTTTAAACTTTTCATAAAAACCAGATGCAGCCCCTAAAACCGGTTCCGGTTCCTAACACGGTTCCGGTTCTTAAACCCGGTTAACCCGGACCCGAAGTGTGACATCCCCAAATTCACGGTCATTTTAAAAAATTTATTTATACTTATTTTAAAATCAGAGTATCCTTTTTGAAGAATAATATTGCAAAATTTGTCCCCAAAAATATGATAAATATATTATCAAAGCATTTCCAAATAAATGTATTTTATTTATATTAAACCGTTGGGATGTCATCGTCAATACAGAAACATAAGCATAAACAGACCTTACATTAATTTATACTAATGATCTATATCTCCTTTAATCTTTCGGTGTAATGTATCTTCGCATCGATACATGTGATACAAATAAATTGAGTGGGTCAGGTTGGGAAACCTGGTGAGTACATAGGGTTTTCAACCCACAATCATATAGTTAATTTGTTTCTTCACATACTTCATGTCAAACAATTAACCTGATTACCCTTCCCCATTATCTTTTTTATTTGTAAGGATCTACCTTAAGAATCATCTATTCTTCAATATTTATTCCTAAGGAATGGGCACGAAGTCCATCGTTGTCAGGGTTTATCTAATAGGCACTAAGTCTATATCTGCAAATGTTATCTATGAAGCACTAAGTCCATAGCTGCCAATGTTATCTATTAGGCACAACAGCCAATGTTCATTTGTAAGGCACTAAGTCCATAGCTGTCAGGGTTTTTAGAGTACATCTGGTGAACACATCGTTCACAAACACCTACAGGTTGCGAGCCTGCTAGCGTTCCACTGGATTGTCTACAATAGTCTGTGGTCGTCATCTATACTCTGCTATATGAATGAATCATCGTTAAAGTCAAAGGCTTCTCAGCATCTTTCACCTCTCATCATCTATATCATCTTTCATCTCTCATCATTCATTTACCCATCTTTACCAAATATATTTATAGGTATAAAAATACATATACAGTTTAAATCAAGTAAAACATGTATAAATCGTTCATTTAGCATAGATATCAGGAACACATATAATAAGCACATATAGCATGTATTAATATTAAATACTTCATATCTATGTGTAAGATGAAAGTAACTATGCACTCACTTGTTAAAGTGACGACTTGAAATTTGAACAACGCTTCGCTTCTAGCAATTGTCATTTCCTTTGACGAAACCTAGTATCATTATTACTAAGTTTTAGTTTATTATTTATTGCGTCTAATTATTAGTCTAGATTCATCATTAACTCAAAGTCTACTTTCATGATCTATCAAGTAAGGTACAACCAGGTAGGATCATATCGGATGTAGGGTCCGTTTGGTATACGAAGTATACTGTTTGGAAATTCCACTTTAAACACCTCACTAAACCACAGCCTATACATCATCCCCGTAAGTAGATCAATCAGTATAACGACTTGGAATCACTTATAAATCTTGTTTATAGGTTCGTAATAATGATAATGAACTTAAACATAAGTTATACTTAAAGTATGGTAAGCATAACTCACTTACAATGAGGTTTAGCGAGGAACCGATCTCTGCGCGGGAAGAACTTCTGAGCTGAAAGCTCTTCTTCTCGGAGCCTTTCGGCGCTCCGGGACTCGCTACTAACACCTAGGAGGTGCTAGGTAAAGGCTTGGTTTGGGGGTGTTTGAGAGAGAATGGTTGAGAAAGGTGTGAAGAATGGAGTGATTTGCGCCTTCTATTTATAGGGTGTGAGAGGCACGTATGTTAGGCGTGTCAAATCCAAAAAATAAAGGGGTACGATATACTCCAAAAGAACACTACAATATTGCACTAAAAGGTAGTACAAGGCAAGTAGGGTCGACCCACAGAGACACAGAACAATCAGTCTATACCTCTTTGCGCAAGGTACTTTAGTCACCAACAGTAAAGAGGGGGGGTTTTGGATGCAATGATTAGAACAACTAATTAAAAACAAAAGTAAGCGACTAAATAAGTGAATTAAATTCAGAAATTGTAAGGACTCGAACTCTATGTATGACAACTTAGCAATGCGATTCCAAAATGACATGATACTTGCTCAATTCTATCTAAGTTGGTACTTAGAAGTGTTAACAAGCTCTAACACTTCCCATTCACCACATTAATTAACCAAAACAAGCTCTTTGATTAACCCTAACCTTACTAATCTAATATAAACAAGCTCTTAGAATTAGATTAAAAGATTGCATTAAGATTTATGTGAATGTTCCCAACAACACCCAAAACTCCTCACAAGCTCGGGAGTGTAAGAGTGTGTGAAAAAGATTTACACTAAATTCATTCAATGGAAATCAATTAATGCTTGTTACTTAGTCCAATTCACAAAACAATTACGGATTTTGCAAAATGGATAACTTGAATGACCTAACCCTAATTCAAATGGCCAATAAGAATCACAATTAGAATCAAACATTCGATTAAAGCAAAATCAATTTCACTAGATAGAAATTAAAAGCAAACATCAAGTCATATGATTGAAATCACAACCAAGAAGTCAAAACATGAAGTTGGAGAAACTAGGGTTCTAGCCACACACAGCTAGAACAAAATCACAAATCAAAAGATGGAAATAATGTGTAATTACAACTTACAAATAAGAGAAATAATGTTTCCAAATGATAAAGGGTCAAAACCTTCGAAATCCCCTCACCAATAGTGCTCTGATATCATGTGTGTGTGTAAAAATGACCCTAACCCCGTAATATGAAAGATAGGAAAAACTGTCAAAAGGCAGTTTTTGGGTCGAACACGGCCCGTGTCAAAATAGGCTAAACTGACACGGGTCGTATTCAGCATGGTCAACACGGCCCGTGTTAAAATAGGCTAAACTGACACGGGTCGTGTTCAACATGGTCAACAGCTTCTTCTTGGTCAAACACGCCACGTGTCCACTTTTCAGTGTAAATCCAACACGACCCGTGTACTCCTCTGACTCCGAATCCAAACTTGATTTTTCCAACTTTTCCGTTCTTCGCCCGATCATCCCGAAATCTTCACCAATGCTTCCTGGCACCTCCTAAAGCGCGTTCTAACCTCCGGTTTACCTGAGAAAAACATGAAAGCGTGCAAATAAGGTTGTTCTAGAGACTAGCATGAACTTGATGAAATGCACGAAAAATGAATAACAACTATGCTAAATAGATGCATAAAAGGGACTAAAAGGTGTGCAAAAAGGTGCACAAAATGCACCTAACAACGTACGTTGGGCGTACTCCAACATTACGTTGGGCGTAATGTGCCACGTATCGCCATCTGGTGGCAAACCGTGGGGAAGAAGGTGCGGCCCAGATCGTGTCACTTGTCACTCGCTGGTTATTCCAAAAACTAATTATAGTATCTTCTAAAATCCGTAACTTTCGCATACCAGCTCCGTTTTTTACGTTCTTTATATCCACGCGTAGGTATCGACGGGATCTACAACTTTCGTTTAGACTCCGTCGGCTAATTTTGACTTTATTTTTAAAGTTATATTTTAACAGATTTAGACAGTTAAAGTCCGTTAAAAATTCATAACTTTGTCATCCGATGTACGTTTTCGACTGTCTTTATATCGTTGAGCTCCTATTAACGAGATCTTCAATTCTCGTTTAGGTTGTGTCGGCTAATAATCGATCGATCTAAAATTCGATTTCCGGATTGTGCATTGCTACGCTGAATTTTAGAAAAATTATAACTTCCTCAAAGGAAGTCAGATTTGGGCGTTCTCTATATGCACGAACTCGGTTTAATGTATACTACGACTTTCGTTTAGATTGCTAAGGCTAAAAAGTAGTTTATCAAAAATTTACTTTTTACTATACGCGGAGCCGTAGGGCTGTAAACGAACCGAACGAACACGAACGAGGCTTGTTTATGTTCGTTTGTTTAAGTTAGCCGAATAAATGAACGAACACGAACAGATAAACGAACAAGTTTTCTTGTTCATGTTCGTTCGTTTAACAGATTACATTGTTCATGTTCGTTCGTTTATTTTCGTGAACATGCTAAACGAATATAAGCAAACGAATATAAATAAACAAAGATAAAAAATACATAATTTAAGATATATGAACATAAATGAACATATAATACACTAATATAATCAAACACAATTAAGAATATGTGAACATAAAATGAACTTATATGAATGAACATAAATGAACATAAACGAACAACATAAACGAACATTCACGAACATAATTGAACGAACGAGATCATTGTTCATATTCGTTCATTTAACTAAACGAACGATAATTTGTGTTCATGTTCGTTCATTTATTAAATAAACGAACTTCCCGCCGAACGGTTCACGAACAGTTTGTTGAACGTTCAGTTCGTTTACATCCGTATGGAGCCGTGCCAAACAATCGTGAAACTTCAACGGGTCATAACTTCTTCGTTATAAGTCAGATTTCAGCATTCTTTATATGTACGAAATCCTTGTGACATATGCTATGACTTTGTTTAAGATTATTTATGTTAAATAATCTTGTATCAAAAAATCATTTTTAACGTTTATTATCTCTAAATTTACCAGCCCGAATCTACGGGCGTTACACGAAGGAGTCGAAACCCGAACCGATTCTATATATTCTGATTCTAACGGTTCCGGTTCCGGTCCGATTCCGGTTCCGGTCCAGTTTTCCGGTTCTAAATCTCATCCCTAATTCCAGTCTCACTAGAAGATATAAATGATATTTAGAAGTAGGTTAATTTGCCGGTTAAAAAAATCTATAGGAAAACCCATTGAAAATGCTCATATAAACTAGTTTATTGATAAGCTTAGCTTAAACTAGTTTATTGGTAAAAACTAGTTTCCCAAACAAAACTTCAATGTGACTCCGCAAGTAACATGCTATTTTCTCAATTAATTTATTGCTACGTTTGGAATTTAATTTTTTCTCTAAATCTCTACCAAAAATATACTCATTCTACCTATAGAAAAAAACCGTCCTTATACCCTTCAAACTCATTCTACAATAGTATATATTATTTATTTGGATTGGATGTATAGATTGTTGACTTTATTTTATAATTCAAAACATTATATCGTGATACAAGTGGCATTGTCTAGGTCGTGCCCAAGTATTGTGGACTTGTTATTTGGTTCAACCAACTTTGATATCGTTAAGTAACGAATGACCCCACTTGGAAACTTAACGTTCACCCACATCTACCTTCCATGAAACCACTCACGTTGACCATATCATATCCAAACCAATTATTCATTTATTCCCATTTACTTTGACTATATATACACCCCCTCTAAAACCATTTACACCACACTCAAAACTTTTACACATCTTTTTTTTGTCACACACAAATGGATTCATATTCGGATTCTTCAAGTTCGGCTGATGCAGAAGACACCGCACTTTATCAAGAACTCACTCGACAGATACTGATGCTTACAGATGAAGATGATGATCGGTATACGGTGGAGCCACGGCGGAGACCGGTGGTTCATGGTGGTGTTGGATCAAGACCGGTGGCTAGGAACTACTATAGTTGGTCGGAGAGTGTGAGAAGTCCGGTCCCTGGTTGGATGGAAAGTTTGTGGGCTAATGGTGGCGGTGGCACCGGAGTGTTCATACCTAGCGGTGTTGCTGTTGCCGCCTACAGTGGTGGTGGAAAGAAGTTCGGTAGGAGAAGGCGTAATAATAAAGTAAGGAAAAATAATGATAGAGGTGGTGGACAAAAGATACATGGTTAAGTATATACAAGATTAATATAACCTTTTTAGAGCAAGGGTATGTAATTAATATCTTATATCGTGTAGGTGTACCCATTCCTTCTTTTTATTCTGTGGAATATAAATATATTGGCTAATATATTTATTGATTTGTGTCATTTTACGTGTTTTAAGTTTTAAGATCTAACTGTTATCTCAGGTGTTTTTAAGGTTTTGAAACAACTACAAAACCAAATTCAAGCATCAATTTCTAACACAATATTATCATGCTAAACTTGTGAACACTATCTAGTTTTTAATTTATAAAAAAAAAAAAAAAAAAAAAAACGCATTTTCACATTACAATAACTCACATTAAAGTGACAAGTTAATGAAAAATAATAATATTAATAATAATACTTGACCTGTTTCTTTAGCTAGACATCAGAGACTGAAGAGCTTGATTTGCAAAAAAACGGACATCAACATCTGGGTCTTCCGCCAGCTCAACCAAACACGGCCTAATACTTTTCTCCACCACCTGAAGGACAAAAAAGTAAATCCACAATATTTAGAGTAAGTTACATTTTTGGTCCTTGAGTATAGCTATTTTTTGCAATTTTGGTCCTCATTTGATGTTCTTCCAAAATTTTTGGTCCCTATTTCGAAAAAATGACTATATCTGGTTCTGAGTATATCTGATTTTTGCAATTTTAGTCCCAAAAGTAATCATTTTCTTGAGTCGATTACATTTTAGTCCTTGTGTATTGGTGAATTTTGCAACTTTGAGGTTTTTGTAATGGTTTTGGGACCAAAATTGAAAAAATCACCTATACTCAAGGACTAGAAATGTAAGTTGCTCCATTTTCTTGGAACGCCATATTGTTACTTACTGAATGGTCGACTATAGGAATTAACAACTGCAAGACCTTTGCGACATTAAACTTGATATTCGGCACTCTGAAGAAAACAAATAAATTAAATAGAAAACAGAAAGAGGAGAATAAAAAGACATTAAAAAAAATGTAATTAAATAATTACCTGTCTTTGGATAAGGTAATAAGTGCTGGAAGAAGTTTAGAACAAGTAATTTCTGAGCCCATAACTGGAGCAAGTAGAGAAATTGCACGCACAACTGTCATTCTATATAAATAATGCGGATTATTAATCATCTCCAACACCTGCCACAAATAAAAGATACACCCAAATTAAAACATAATAAATTCAAGACTAATTTACACTTTTGGTCCCCAAGTATATCTTGTTTTTACAATTTTGGTCCTTATTTGAGATTCTTGTAATATATTGTCATTACTTATTCAGTTTGAGACCAAAATTGCAAGAGAAAACTTTTTGGAAAAAAAAAATCAGTTAACTCAGGGACAAAAATGTAATTTACTTTATGCACTGAACAAATAATAACCTGTGGGACAATATGTTGCATTGACCAATCTGGACCGAATTCCTCTGCTAATCGCTTTAAGTTATTAGCAGCAGCATCTCTAATGGAGTAAACCTGAAAAAGTAATAATATTAAAAAAAAAAAAAAAAACATTCTTAAAATAAAAAGTAAGTTACATTTTTGGTCCCTGAGTATAACTTCTTTTTCAATTTTGGTCCCAAAGTCTATAGTCATTTCACTTGGAACAGAGACCAAAAACGTTACAAAAAACCAAAATTGCAAGAGAAAAGAAAATCTTTTGGGGTTCAATATGAAAAAATCAGCTAAACTCAGGGACCAAAACCGTAATTTATTCAAAAGAGTCTAAGAGTAACCTTGTCTTGTAACCATTGCATGCAAAGAGAACCAAGTTTATCATCAAAAAAGGCTACACCTAATTGACTAGCCAATAGTGGAATGTATTCTATAATTGCCAAACGAACCCTCCAATGTCTATCTTCTGCCAGCTCAACAATTGCTGGAAGTAAAGATTGAGATAAAAGATCGATCCCGATGACCTGGCATTTATTTTGTGTTATAAAATAATTATTATTTATTAATGAAAGTAACAAGTATCATCTAATCTTATTACCTGATTTACTTGATCTAGCTTGCTGATAATATTGAGACGTACGTCTGGAAACTCGTCTTTTAGAAGTGAAAGAAAAATAGGAAGAAGTTGTTCAATTGTTGCTTCCTGCAATTCATTATAAAACCTCACTTATATAGTTATATACTTATATTATATCTTTTTATAAAATTAAATGAAAAAAAAGTTGTTACCTTTCCTAAAACAGGAGCCATGCCCATTATAACAGAAGCCAAAGCAGATCTAACATGCTGAGAAGAATCCGATGACAATTCCTACAAATGTTTCTTAGAAGAATTAGAATTAAAAAAATAAATAAATAAATAAATAAACTTTTATAAATCATACCTTTACACATGGAAGAATATGTTGAATTGCAAGTTGTGGGGTAAGAATACGACTAAATTTAGTGACTTTTCCAGCAGCTGCAATGCGTACTTCAGCTTCATTATCACGAAGTAGCCTCACGTATGCTGGAACTAACTCACTCCTGTTATAATTTAGAACAAAAATGTTAAAAAAATGGAAATAGAAATAGAAAAAAGAAAACAAATTGTTTTGGATTTGAAAATTGAACATACTTGGTGGGTTCAGGGCCCACTGCTTCACATAGTTCATACAATTGATTAGCAACCATATAACGAACACGCCAAGACTTGTCCTGTTTTTTTAAGAGAAAACATTCAAATTTTGTTTTCAATTCTCATTTTGTTTAAAAAAAAAAAAAAAAAAATCACTTGTTGGAAACTAACCTGAGAAAAATTAACAATGACAGGAAGAATATGTGCAACACAGTCTTGGGGTTGAAGCAACTTCCCAAGAGCAGCACAACCCTCAACAGCTAGTAAACGAACAGAATCTTGATCTATAGAAAGTAAAAAAAAAGTAATTAGTTGCTTTCAATTTCATCATGAACTTGAGTAAGTTATATAAAATATGAGATAAACAACTTACCATCTTTTGTAAGATCCTGAAAGATCTCCATGATGTGAGTCTTGAGATGTGAAGGTTCCACAGTAGCAGAAAATTTTCCCAAATTTGTTGCAGCTGCTCTTCTAACCATGGGCATGTCATCTTGACATAACTGATTAAAAACTGATCTCAATTCTGTCTTCAATGCCTCAGAGGCACTAGGATAAGCAATGTGAAACAGCCCACATGCAGAAACTCTAGCAGTAAACCATTCACCAGCTGCCAACCTCTGAACCATAGATCAAAAATCATGTCAAGAAACAGATGTTCACCAATGAAGAAGAGATAGAATGATAGATTACTGAAAAATAAACCAACCTTAACAAGAGGTACAAAGAAATCAACCAAATCAGACTCTCTCATTTGTGATCCAATCCTGCAAAGTGACTCAACAGCTTTGTCCCTCACACATGTCTCTTCGACAGTACATAGGGTTTCAAGAGGGGGAAGCAACACAGGGGCATGCTCTATTCCACCAACATAAGGGATAAACACACCCAACTCCTCTGCCATGGCTAGAAGAACCTCATCATCATCATCATTGTTTTCACTTAAGAAAGGAATCAACTCCTTTCGTGTCCGATCTTCTCCTAGAGCACGAGCAATTGTAGATAGCCTTCTAATGGAATTCAAGCGCAATTGGATGTCATCATTCTTCAGCTCGTCTATCAGTATTGCTATGGGGTACAAAGGTTCATCCACCATCGACATTTGTAGTTCAAAAACTACTGCACTTTTCAGCCAAATTCATATAGGATTACAAGTCATTCATCACATGATAGCATGTTAAATTCAGTACCAAATTCAACAAGGATGATCTAGGTTTTCTTAATTTGTAACTCGACAAAAAATATAGGTTCGATGGAAGTCTGGAACCAATGTATGTTCTTCAAAATTGAAATGGAATACAACAGCAAAGAGATTATATACAGACATATAAATATATAATGACATAAAATCTATGTCGGATTGGCTAGTTGAGTTCATTAAATTAAATTGCCACACTTTGAAAAAAGATTAAACGTAAAGACATGTGAGATCCGTAAATAATCTCGAATTACAAATCGAGAAGCTGAAAATAATCGAACGTAAATGAAATTGCATAATCAAGCTTTCAAGCACTTAACACCTAGGGCTTACCAGGTTGTGTTCATTTACATATAGTTTGAATCGAATAAATCAAAATTTAAGGGATTCAATTCGAATGAATCCACAGAGCAGATATATACGTAACGAGTGAGGAAAGTAACCGAGAGATATCGGAGAAACGTACCGGCGGAAAGGACTGTGTTTCCCACTTTGATTCGTCAGATTCGAAGACTCGAAGGGGAAAGAGAGCCGGTGTCAACGTATTGAATCAAACGCACCGAACGCCTTTTTTGACAAAACGGAACTTGTTGGCAAAGATTTTTGTTCATGTTGATTAATTTTGGATTTAGGATGTGTGTGGGATTATTTTTTAGGTTAAAAGTTCTTTTGTAAAAAGATTTTTTTTAAAAGAAAATTTTTAAAATGTATTTGTATTTGTATTTGTTTTAAGGAGAATTTTTTCTAAAAGAAAATTTGTATTTGTTTTTAGGGTAAAAACCAACTTTTCAGTTAAAAAGTCCCAAAAATCAAAAAAAAAATAGAATGTCAGATTTTCCTTCACACAAAAAATTATTTTAAAATATCTTTTTCATTAGACAAACATTTTTGGCCAATTTTTAACTTTTTAGAAAAGTTAAAAGTGAAAAATTGTTTTAAAAACAATCTCTTAAAATCTATAAAAAAAATATTTGAAGACGCCTCTTTCAAGTGAAAATGAGGTAATTAACATTTATTAGTCTTGTTTATGTTTATTCTTTTTTTTATATGTTTAATTATTTAACTTGTTAAATGTGTTTACATATTATAATAGGTGCCAATGATAATATTTGAATACATTTAACAAGTTAAATAGTTAAATATGTAAAAAAAAAAAGTTACCTAAATGTAAACAATTTTTTTTAATTTCTTAAAACTTTTTATATTTCTTACAACAATTTTATGATATTTTTTCCTATAGGTTTTTCTAATACAATGTTTTAAACTTTACTTATAATTTTTTTTATACTTTCATATAATTTTAATAAAAGTATTTTTAAACCAAATACATTAGAAATATTTTAAATTTTTCTTAAAAGTTTTTAACTTTTTTTTTTACATTTTCATACAATTTTTTTTATAATTTTCATAAAATTGTTTCTAAATTTTCTTTTACAACATTTTTAAAGTGTTTCACAAATTTTGTATGACAATTTAATATTTTTTTATAACATTTTAAAATACTTTCGTTAATACTAGTTTAAAACATTTTAATATTTTTAATACTAGTTTAAAACATTTTAATATTTTAAAGTGTTTCACAAATTTTGTATGACAATTTAATATTTTTTTATAACATTTTAAAGTGTTTCACAAATTTTGTATGACAATTTAATATTTTTTATAACATTTTAAAATACTTTCGTTAATACTAGTTTAAAACGTTGTATTAAAAAAATTAAATTTATAAACTTCTAATTAAAAATTATTAAAAGTTGTAATAATTTTAAAACATCTATATTATATAGGATTTTTTGTTTTTTTATTTGCTACGTAATATTTTTTTATTTTTTTAAAAGACCCTCCATATTTAGTTTATTTAATTTTATTGTTAGATGCTATTTATTTTAAAAATATTGTATATGCTTAAAAACAAAAGAAAAAAATATATAAGAAGCTATATAAAATATTTTACAAAACAAAAACATAGTTATTAATTAAAAAGTAAAATTTAGAATTGATCAATGTTTAATTAATACTTAGGACATTATGGATACCTTAAAAATATCATTTGAAAAAAAATAATACAAACAAATATGTAAAATAAAATTTTTATTAATTTTGGAGAAAATGACTTATCATGATAATTAACTTTTCGTTTTGTTCACATTTGAACAATTTTCTTTTTTTATACGCATTTGATCATTTAACTTGTTAAATGTGTTCACATATTATAATTGTCACCGGCTATAGCAGGTGATAATTGTAATATGTGAACAAAATATAACAAGTTAAATGGTCAAATATGTACAAAAAAATTGTCTAAATGTGAACAAAACGATAAATATGATTTGGGTAAATTGTACGATGGTTATTAAGTTTCTAAAAAGTTCGATTTTGATATTATATTATTTTTTTATTTTAATAGTCATTAAGTTTTTTAATTATTACAATGTTGAGTATTTAACCGGTCAATCTAATTACTCGTTTACATAAAACTTTTGATGATGTGTCGTTGACAAAACATGATGGAATGACCTTGATGCAGCATGATGACGTGACATTGGATGTCGAGATTGAAAAAAAAAACTAAAATGTAATTATTTTTGTACGATTTGGTCTTATCATAAAAAAAAATCAATTGACAAATAGATCAACTGATTAGGTTTTTTATATCCTAAATAAAAATAATATTTGTTACAATGGTGAAGAGATGTAATTTTACTCTTGTTATTCAGAGTTTAACAAAATTTTCAATACGGATATGGCATTGTACTTATAAGATAAATATGTATGGGGTTACTCATGCTGCTTGTGACATGTCTAAGGTCATGTCTATGCCTCCTACATATACGATCTTCATGAATGTATGTTTTGTTACTCAAAAATGATTATAATTTTCAGGAATAAACAAGAAAGAAACACACATAAAGACACAATGTTCAATGTGGTTCGGTCAATGTGACTTACGTCCACACAATATGATGATTCTTATTCGTGAGCTCAAACAAAGATAATTGGTACAATAAATAGAAAAACATCGTTAGAATCCTAGCTAGCTTGTAACACCCTGTTCCGAATCGTTTCCTAATTCAGGGTCGTGACCCGAAGATCAGTTTTCATAAGGCTTAGCGCCTCTAGGATAGAGAGAATTAGCCCATTTTGGGTGTGGAAAATGTAGATTAGATGACCTGGGAGTTCGATTTGTGTTGTGGATTCCCAAGGGTATATCGGTAAAATAACCGTTTGGTCCTTTTATGAATTTAAGTTCGAAATTTTTTAAGGCAATGAAGAGTTGATATAAGTGTAGAGCTTCTCATTACCTTTTCGGGGATATAAGGATCGTCGAAAACGAACTTAGAACGAAGAAGTTATTGTCTTCGGAAGTTTGGTAGTATTAGGGTTAAGCCTAGTACGCGGGGCGTACATAGGAGTACGTTGGGGGGTACTAGGCGGTCGGATCGCAGATGCCCTCTTGAGTACGTTGGGCGTGCCAGGAGTACGCAGGGCATGCCAGGAGTACGCAGGGCGTACTTAAGCCTGGTGCAAACCCTAATTTAGGATCTTAGACGCTATTTAATGGCCCTAACTCAACACCAAACCCTTATACTTTCAGCCTACATCCCATTAAACCCTAGGAACGAACCCATAGTCTCCATTGGTGTGATTCTTGAGTTTTTAGTGTGATTTCATGCATTTTGGTTCTCACTGAAAAAGAAGGGGCTTCTCGGAGAAGTGTGGGATTGCTTGAAGCTTGTGGATCCAGACTTTGTGCATCTTGATCTACCTTCTGGAGGTATAAAACTTCAAACTTTATGGTTCTCTAGTGTAGATATAGTATTAGGTGGTATGTTATCATGTTTTGGTCCCAACGTTGTTGATCTTGAGAGTAGAAGCTACTCCAGGGCCATTGAGCCTCGTATTCAGTCCTTGTTGAGTGGTTAAGTCATGAAAATATCATCTTGAGGGTTTTTGTTGATGCATGCATGAGTTGGTGTTCTTATTATGGATAAAAACAAGGATTGTGTCCCATTGAGTCATGCAAAGGAGTAAAGTTGCCAGCTTTACGTGTTAAGACACCCCTTAAGGGTCATATATGTGTTTGGATGCTTTTGTCTTAACCATTAAGAGCTTATTATGGATTTTGGGCCTTTGATGAATACGTTGGGCGTACGCTCAACGTAATTCTTGTTTCGTGCATCAACAACTTGTACTCTGTGCTTTGGGGTGAGTACGTGGTGCGTACACTTATGGCACGCAGGGTGTACTTCTAGAAAGTCCAATTTGGGCCTTTTAGGGGTTGGGCGATGAGATGTTGGACTAGTTTTGGGAATGATAAAATGGTCTTTTACCCTTTAGTAAGATGGATCATAGATTGGGCCTTGGATTTTGGACTTTGGATTATTTAATAATTAAGGTTGTATTATTTGTTAGTTGGTGCAAGATTATCTAGTTCAGCGACCCAAGGAGTATTTGATTATCAACGGATTGAGGTGAGTTTCCTCACTGTGTTTGGCGGGTCGAAGGCACCAATACCGTCCCATGGGTTATTATGTTTAGGATGCTAGTTGTATGTGTGACACTGCATGTATGATATATGTTATGTATGTCAGGCGGGGCCTGATGACTATCTTGTATGCTATCTATCTTTGTGATTCTTGCATGTGTTTAGGTGTTTGTATATATTCCGGGCGGGGCCCATTATTTACTAACAGATCTGTTCCAACCAGGACCGATGATGGGAGGGGCCCATTATGTGTTTGATATGTATGGTATGAAGTATTTTTGGGGAACTCACTAAGCTTCGTGCTTATGATTTTCAGTTTATGTTTCAGGTATATCCGGATCGAAGGGGAAGAGTTGGGGGTGATCGCATCGCACACACCATATTGTTCCATATTTTATTTGACTCTAATGTATTTGGATGTTTTGGTTATACTCCGATTTTATTGTAGTTTTATGAATACGTTTTAAAAGATGGTTTATTATTATTAAAATGAAATTTTTGGTCTTGAATTTTGGGACGTTACAAGTTGGTATCAGAGCCTTGGTTTGAGGGATTAAGGCATACTCTCGAGTGTGTCTGAACTTAAACTGAGGATTTAGTAGAATTTTAAAAGGAAATGTTTTATAAAAATAGATTTTTCTAATAAAAGGAAGGGTGTGGTGTATGCAATCGACCAAGCTCAAGTAAGTTTTCCCAAAATACTCATACATGTTTTATGATATGTTTGATTTGTGAATTTGTGAATCGCATGCTAGATTACGGATAAATATCTAGGAGATATGCCTTTGTATGCTTGTTGTATGAGCTTATAGACTTGCATGCTAGTACTGATTAGTCAATGATAGGATGACCTGTTTAGGTTATTGGCACACCCCGCTAAAGCGGAAACACGAGGTGTGGCAGTATAAAGGGTTTCATAGCAAAAGTTAAAAGACAACACCAACCATAGTATTAAAAATCATTACAAATTTACAATGGGTTTGAACAACTTTTAAAAGAAATTACAATGAAAATTGAAATACAACACATGCGGATGCTCCAAAAAGTGATGTGTCTCTACGTGCCTCTTACTAGATGATTCCTGAAAAAGCATGTAAAAAGAGCGTCAACTATAAAAATAGTTGG